TTTTAAAAAGCGAAGTAAGGTAAAGAGAGAAGGAGAGTTAAGAAGTGGTGATATCAAAAGAAATGCAGTAGCGGATAAAGAGCAGGTGAGGAAACACTTTACAGGAAATTTGGAGGAAAATTGGGTATCTAGCAGTCCTTACATCCAAGTGATGCTATGACTTTAGTGTCATGTTAATTAACTGTTTAATTTGTTGAACTTTGCAAAGGTAATCACCTTTGCAAATACCATGCACTACGGGCAGATTTCAGGCAGATTTCAGGAAACAGGTACAACTTTACACTATCTCTTCATACCACAATTTCTGACTTTTGCCCTATATTGTAGATCATCTACCATTATTTTAAAAAGTTCAGCTCTATCATCACAGTGACTGCCTTTCTTATTGCATGCAAGATACTTGAGATGGGCAGTCAGGGTGTTAGGATAATGAGCAGAAACCTTAATGAGATGCTGTCATCCTTACTTCTGCCAGGATTGTGGCATGGGAAGCACAAAAAAATGCATTTCTGTTAGGCAGCAAGGGCACATGTAACTTTTTCCTTATACAGGTCAAGGAAACTGAGCCTTAAAAGTGCCAGTTCATTCCACTTACTCTAAAGAAATTATAATGACCCAGCTGAGTTATAGCCAGCCACACTGTAGATATTTGAAGTTAGCTGAGATGAATCCCATCTCTGAAGATTGCCCTGTCTCAGTGAGTTTTGTTGTTGTTTCCAGATAAAGAAAGATTGGGGTCCCTGAATTTTAACAACATCTAATAGTGGCATGAAATCCAGCATCAAATATTAATTCAGATGAGACTTTGATGTAAGTGGGGATTGTTGCTTAGGCTGAAAACAGGCTGATGATATATATTCATTATATGTAGAAGCTCTCCTGTGCCTTGCTGGGGATGTTGTGCTGGCATCATTATGTTATATGTTTATTGACATTCTGGGAGATGGATAAATGTCCCATTAGCCCAGTAAGGATGGCAAAATGAGACAGCAGGGAGACCTAGGATCAGAAATATTCTCAAAATAACTTCTATGAGACTGTGGTACATGCAGTGAGAGGAGCACCTGAAAGAGGCTAACACCTCTGCAGACACTTAGAGCCCCTGCCCCAAGGAACTGAATCTGGGAGGTGAAAGGGTTTGAGAGGACCAAGAATTTAAATTAGCTGAATGGACCTCTGAGTCACTTTAGCTCTCACCTTCTTTTCAATGCCAGTGGTTAGAAACCACCACAACTGGGACATGCAGTGACCAACAGCTGAGTGGTCAAAGGGAGGTTTGGAGCACAAAGAGGATGGTGACCCAGGGAGGGGGTTGCAGGCAGCTGCTGAAGCAAGTGCACGTGCACAGCTAGAAATATCCAGTACAACATAAGGCAGCAACATGCTACTGATATCAGCTGAATACAGGTTTTATTTGGGGGAGCTACGGGATCCCCAACTGAGATGAAAGAGGAAGGGTGTCTGTCTCTTATGCCAGAAGGTGAATCTAAGTGATAGTGATGACTCTCAGTTTGCAAGCAGGTCTAGAGGGTGGGGATTCATTAGGAGTTGAACAAACCAACACAAAAATATGTAAAATGAAAAAATGTAGGATCATCATGGAGAAAAAAGTTATCACTAGTTTCCCTGGGTCCTGTTTTCAGGCATCTGATTATGTCCTGTGAAGGAGTCTATCGCCATCAAATAAGGGGTGTGCAGGATCTACCTCAGACTCTGCCAACCAGGTGATCCTGCTGCCTACAGGATTTTTTACATGCACATATACCACCTGAGAGCTGGACAGCTGCAAAATTCTTCACCTGCCTTCACCCTCAGAGGAATCAAAACTGCACATACATTTTGGAGAACAGATGGTCTCTGGTGACTCTTTTCATTTGGGGTTCTGATTTGCGTCAAAACTAACCTAACCTTTAAAGAATCTCAACACAAAATAATATTTTATAGGACTGCTTTTGTGGAACCCCAGATTATTATTATTCTTTTGTACTTTGTCAACCCCTTTCTTCCCCTTGACCCTGTCTTCTATTTCTGCTTTATCCCAAGCACTTCTACTCACTCCCTCCTTGTCTTCTCTTCCCCAGGCCAAAATACCACAGTCCAGGATTTGCACAGATGTAATGGCATTTCACTTTAGAGAAATGGCTACTTAATGCCTTATCTGCCCTGCAAGAGCTGGACTCCTCTCCCAGTACACACAGAGATGTGTCCACAGAGCATCAAGTGCATTTATGAGCATTCACAGAGTATCTGGGAGTCACCTTGCATCAGAGGTTGTGTTTTTACAGACATGAAGTAGCTATAATCAGGTTTCTAACTGAGAGCATAATAACTGTGCTTTAGCGGAGTTGTAGCTTTGGGAAAGAGTGTTTAATTTGACAAAGATATTGACAGGGGAATCCTTTACATATAAAAAAACAGCTGCTGTTACCCTGTTCTGTTGATTTCTTCCTGCAAACCAAACACACCCGGTGTTTGTTGCTTTCTACATCATGCCCTGTTTGAACAGTTACTGAAGTGGATGAATAAATCATCTGACTGCTGAAAATGCATGCATAGACCTAATGCTCTAGTAAAAGGCTTTGTGTGTGTTTTGACTGTTAACATCCAGAACAGCAAATATACCTAACAGCAAAAGGAAAATACAGCTCAGTTGCTATTTGGGGAAGGAAGCCCCATCATATTTCCAGTACACATTTTGTCAGAAGAGTAAGCAGGATGCTCAGCCCTGTGGTTGTACCTGCTGGGACCCAGGACAGCCAGAGGCCATTTTCTCTGCTGAGCCAGAGTCTCTGTGCAGCATTTGTCAATTTGAGTCTGTAAGCCCCATCTCTACAGCTCCTCTTTTTCATCTGTAGATCTTGAAAGCATCTATAGATCCTCCTGGTGAGCCAGGATGGAGGCAAGGAAAAAGAAGATGGTCAGAGCCTTGCCCAGGTCACCAAACCAAAGCCTGGTCGTGGGCAGGACCCACTGAGCTGAATCAGCTTTTCCAAACACTGCAGTCCCCATCTCTGCTGGGGTGGTTTATTTGTGTGGTCGAGAGGCAGCTTTTCCTTCCTAAACTGTTGCACTGGCTTAACAGGAATCGTGATAACAAGGGCTGAGATCACTGATGTGTCACAGAGATAAATGGCTTTCAGTTGTTGGAGGAGGATGGACAGACCCTGATGGCCCTGCCAGCCAGGGCAGGATGCTGAACTGGCTTTGCTGTAGTTCAGTTTCCCTCTCAGACTTGTACGATGACCTATGGTCCTCACATATGACTCTTTTATGTCTGCCTTCCAAATCTGGAAGGCAGATAAATCTTATTAATACCTCGAGATTTAATATTCATCATATTGCTTTCTGTGGAAAAAGCCCAACTTTTCTGGAAAGAGCAGTTCATTAGAGCCTTAAAGATGAACTCCAGAAAAGTAGCTGGTGTTTCCAGCCCTTACTAGAATTAGTACCATATAAGGGTAAGTTGGCAAATGATTTTAACAGTGCTTACTCAAGCAAATGCTGCATCAGTGGAACAGCTTGCAAAGAGCACGGCTCTGTTCCCTCTTAACCTCCCCATAGGCGTGTCCCTCTCCCTCTGAAACCACAGAGCAGATCTCAGAGGACTGCATTGGCAGTCTTGGAGGGGAAAACCATTTTCCATTTTGAAAATACACCCTACAACCAGCAACAATTAAACACAGCTCCTGTGTGTCAGTGCTGCCAAAGCAACACACCCAGTACAGCACTGTTCCTCCTCTTGCATCACCAACAAAGCTGCCAGCTGAATTGTGCCTGTATCCTTGGTGTCTTGGCGTGGTACCAAGCAGGAAGCACACAGATAAGCTTTCAAGGATCCCAGTAGCTTTTTTAGGGCTGCTAGGCTCAAAAAAGAGCCAGTACCTTGCCGCTGGCTAGTAAAAAGAGCACACTTCACTCTGAGAACCTGGCCTTTCTGAGAACAAAGCTTTATATGTGCCAGGAGATTGCTTCAGAACAAGGTCTGATATATCACATTTTTTAGCCTTGTTTATAACATAATCTATAGCTAAACAGGAGACTGAAGAGGAAGTGCCATCCCAGAGAGGATGTACCCAGCCATCAGCACAGCCCAATCTGTGCCGTGCTGCATTCTCCCAGCACCTCTTGGAGATGGGAATCCCCAGGCTGGCAGTGCTATGAGCTGCACTCACATGGGTGGGCACCTGTGCCCCATGCCACCCCAGGCAGTGCTGGTCTTGCTTCCCTTTGCCATCCTCAAAAACAATCAGCTTGCTCATCACGTGGAGGTTCCAAATCTACCTGCACAGCCTGGGCAGTACTGGGTGGGACTCACCACCATACTCAGCACTCTTGCCTTTTTTTAAAGTGTATCCTATAAAGAGGCACATAAAATTATTCATAATTTGGGTGGTTAGACCTCTTTTTTTCACCATTCACCATTTAGGGAAAAAAGACAAAAGAAAGGAATTTCAGGACATTTTTAGGTGTGTGTTTTTCCTGAATGAATGAAAGAAAGTTAGAATGATTGATTGATTCATTTATTTTCTGCAACACAGAGAATTAATTGTTGAAAGCAGCTATTTTTAATGAGAGTAAAAAAAAAAAAAGCCCTAAAAGGGACTGGTTCTTGTAACACATAAGCATTTGCCCATTTTTTAGGTAACCGGTGAAAAGTTTGCTTTCATGAAAAGCAGAGGAAACCTTGAGAAGCAGCAATGAGAGAAGCACAGTAGCACACAATAATATTCATACTACTTGGAAGCAAATGTTGTGCTTATGGGAAGTACGCAACAAAAATAAAAAAGCGAGTATGAAAGGCACTCCGAGTGTTAAATATTCATTAGTATTCCCCACGCCGCCTGTTCTAAATATAAGATAGGTTTCAGTGCAGCCCCGGTATGTGACGGGATGTTTTCCCCGCCCTTGTACGATGCTACAGCCACTCGGGTGTCGGGGCGTCGCCATGGCAACACGGCGATGCTACCTTTTGTTCGATGAATGAAATGACCAGTTGCGGGGTCGGCCAGGGGCACACACGCAGGGACAGCTGGGCTGCCACAGCATCTATTGTCCCGGTCACCTACAGGTCTGGGGGTGGAAGGCAGGAGGAGGTGGCAGCTTTTTGCATCACAGAGCAATGAGTACTGGGTCCAAATCCAGATTCCCTCTGCCTTTCAGGACCGGTACAGGCAGCACAACTTGACTTTGTGTTGGCATCCCCACCCCAAAGGTTAGGAAGGGTTCAATTTACAGAAGTTTTATCTCATCTCAGACGCACCCACAAAGGGTAAACAAGAGGAAAGCTGAGGGTTCAGTTACATAACATTGAGTTTGGCTGGGTTTAGGACCCTCAATCAGTAGCCTGACAGTGAACACAAGGCTTCTTTGGACCATTTTTTCCTACTGCTGGATACACAGGGCAATCAGCTGCAGAGTCAGGCACTTAAAATCAGTCATTTGGATCTACTTGGCTAAATATCAGGAGATATCTCTGCTCTCATTCTGGTTCATGGAGGTCTGTCAACACAGTCAGCAGAGTCTAGAAAGAGATTCATCTCCAAGGCTGAATCCAGGTAGGATGTACCAGGCTCCAGGTAGACATCTACCTTGGTCTGCTGTCTAGAGTCCAGCAGACGTATAGGTTATGACAATATATGAGGGGCTTTCAAGGTATCTTACTCCCATGTCTAGTTATAGAGCTAAGAGTGATTATATTCCCATCTTCTAGGATGTAGTGGGTTGAATCCAGGACAGGGTGAACCTCTGCAACACCTGTGAGAACCAGACAAGTTGGTCCCTTCCTCTGCAGATGGAGAACCTGAGATACGCTGGGTGTAGCTACCAAGGATGTGAGTCAAAATGCTGCTCCCCTCCCCAGGAAGAGAATGAGATCGCAAGTGTTCACATTCTCCTTTAGCCTCTGCTGTGCCTTTGATCTGAAAATCTCAGGAGCTGAGGCTGCAGAACAAGTCTGTGGTAATTTGAGAATTGCCATGAGTTGCAGCCCAGGAGCGGAAGGAAGTGTCAGACCGTGGCACACGCTATTGCAGCACTGCTCTCCTGGCTACAGCAACTAAAGCACTCATTTTAAAGTGAGGATAAACTTCTCTGGCTCCCACAGATGTAAAATTACTGCTCTGAATGTGAAGGGGGGTTGCAAACAGGCTGGAGTATGCCAAGAGTGGCCGTCCTGCTCCTGTAGCACAAGGAGGACAGGTTGGTGGTTGCACAGCCTTAAGCAGAGTATCTGCCTAGATGGTAGTAGAGCTCAAGTCCTGCCTGGTACCTGGAAATCAAGAGGAGGATGACATGATGCACAATACCCATCCATCCACTGTTGCTCCAGCTCTTAACTGGAAATTCCCAAACTTTCCAAGGAGCCAAGACAAAAATGTGCACAGGCAGAGCCGCTTGGGTCCCCTGGCCCCACTGGTGAAGGTGGATGTGAACAGACCTTGCTGTCACACACCACTTCAACTGTGGCTCATGGTAATGCCATGCAGGAGCTGATAACTCACCCAGAGCATCCTTTGGGATGCAGCAGGGGGTCACAGCCTGCACTCCGTGGATAGGCAGACTCGCTGCTGGCTCATGGCCACAGCCACGGGTGCTGCTCAAACAGCACCATACTCTTTCCCATTCCTGCTCATCCTGCTGATCTGGGCTCTGCTCTGACTCATGCAGTATCAGCACAATTCCCAATCCATTCAGATCAGAGAGGCTTTGAGTGCTGCTGAACCAGAAAGGCACCAGCTTGCTTTTCTGGTCCCTGACTGAATTACTCTTGGGCTTTAGGAGAAATACTTTTTTTTTTTTTTTGCTTGTAAACAAAGATAAGACAGGAATCCTCATGAGGCACTGTGGTTTAGCCTAGTACAAAGCAGAACTGAGTTTTAGGAGAACTGGGTGTTCATGTGCTACCATGCATGCGTCATCCACATTATCATATTGTATTAAAGCTTGATCAGCTGGCCTGAGATCTCCAAAATACCCAAACACTCCTCTCTCTTTATGATTTTCTGGACATTTTGGAGACTCAAATTCTCCTGATGATTTGGATGTTTCACAGATGCACAGACTTGTAAATTTCTCATCAGAGTCTGACACCACATTGTACAGCAGAAAAATCACAGCGGCCTTGTTTTACTGGAGTCTGGAGTTCCTGCTGTCATTTATTCAAAGTCTTACTGAAGTCTTTTAAATACCAATAGCAAAACATATTTATATACATCCAGCAAGAAACAGATGAGCCTGCCAGCATTGTACCGTGTCTCTAGCTCTGGAAAACTTATCTCTACCTTCAGTATGATATGATCAGACTCCTTCACATTTGATAAGGACCTGAATTTGGCTGAGAACAGTTAATTATCTTTGACATGAATATTAATCACTGTAGGGGGCACCTCCCCTCCCTGTTTTTACCCCATAAAGAATAATAAGAAAAATGGTCTAAAACTGCAAGATCTACAGGGCTGAAAGGACTGGGAGAGATAGAGGGGAAAAGGGATGTGTGGGCTTGAACACCTTCATCTGTGTCACTGTCTGGGAGCACTTTTGCTGTGGCTTGCAGGGCAGGAGTTGTGTCAGTCTCTGCTTTGCACCCTGGGATGTCACAAACCACCATGACACCACCATGAACACATTCCTTTGCATCTTCTCCCTCTCAGTGTAGCCTCCAGGAGCCCAGGTTGAGCATGACGGACACATGTGGGCAGAGATAGTCCTTGGCCTAAGCAGCCAAAGTAGGAGACCAGAGCAAGAGCAGAGGTTTATGTAGAGGTGAGGAACCACAGAGGAGCAGAGGACAGGATTCTCTTTGACGTGGTACATTTGGGGTGAATCACTTTGGGAAAGAACCTGTCTCTCTTGTTGGTCTTGCAGGAGCCTCAGTGGCTGGCTTGGATCAGAAAGTAGAGTTTTAGATGGTGAAAGCTAAATGAGGTGGATCCCCGTGGTCATCCAGGGAACATGTGGCAATGTCAGGAGTTTAACCAGATCTAGCTCAGTGACTGAATCAGACTGTGACTATCCCTGAGGATGTAGATATGGGGCCTAAAAGAAGAGCTGATGTTGAAGTGCATTAAAAATTTCCACCTGCAGTATGCTTCAACCAGCCTGACAGTGATTTTTGAACACTGAAGATCAAGTTCTGGTGATGTAACAGGGTATTTCATTTCATTTTTGGACAGCAACTGGGTACTGGTATGTGGAAGGTTATCCCCTGGGCTGGGAAAGGGGAGTCTTTTTTGTGTCTGTTTTAGGAAGCAGGGTGGCCCTGGGGGGAGCCGACCTTTGGAGCAGTGATGGGGAGCTGGTGCTCATTTGATGGTGTTTCAAAGGACTGGTCTGGTCCAGTCCTGGGGACTGAACACTGGTGTATTTGTAGGTCTAAAGCCCATTTTTCAGATGGATTTTTCTCTGAAAGAGATTCAGTCCCAACATCACTCCATGATGGAAAACAAAATGCGGGAAGCAGGAGCAATTAGGGAATTTTCCACAAAGGCATGCTCTGATCTGAATTAAAATGCTAACAGAAATGCATTCACAGAGTATCTTTTGCTGACCAACTTTTCAGGACTATATTCCTTTTGTTTAGCCCTCCTTTCTTTCTTTCTTTCTTTCTTTCTTTCTTTCTCTCCCTGAGTTCCCAGCTGACAATTGACAGGAACTCCCTTTCAGCGTGGGTTTGGTCACTCACTGACAGCAAACAAACGCGCCCAGCAGAAAATGCTCCAACTGTTGGCGTTTTGCGAGCGGGGAAAGCCTCCTGGGCTGAAGCTTGGAATCAGGATTACACCCTTTTAAGTCAGTCCCAGGGAATCCACAATCTCTCACGGTGACGAAGTTTTCTTGGTGCTTCCCTCGCTAGCACAGAGAGTGGAGGAGCATCAGCCCCGCACGGGGACGTTACCAGATTAAACCCAGCGGCACAATAGGCAGGGCAAAAATCCCACACCTTCCCATCGCTGCCGCCGACCGGGTCCCCGCAGCTGGGCTGGGATCGCCTGTCCTGTGCTGAATGCATTACGTAAGGCAGGGATCGTTTGTCAGCCGCGATGGTACAAACATAGCTGCGGGCAGATTATGCACAGAGAGGGAGAGAGGAGGGAGAGGGAGGAAGGTCTCTTCAGGAACGGTGCTCCACGCGACTGAGGATTGCAAGTTGGCAGCTCGGCAGCTGGCTGAGCTCCCGTGAAAGGTGTCGCTGGCGGTCCCTGACATGCTCTTGTTCGTGTGGGATGCTTGAGACAGGAACGAGATACTAAGTTGGGGACAAGGATTGGCATGAGGATCGGATCAAAATGGAAGGGCTTCTGTCTCCGATGAGAACGAAGGTAGGAAAAGATGCTAATGTCTTTTGAAGCTGAATTTACCAGAGGAGGGGAAAGGGAGTTGCAGGGCTAGCTCTGTGAATAGGGGGCTTGCCGGGCTTTTGTCTCTTTTCTTTTCTCTCTCTTTTTTTTTTCTTTCTTCTTTTTCAAAACTATGCTCATGAATGTAACTCGGCAGAGGAGCAACAGCAGTCACCTCCAAGAGGGGAGTAACACATCACTCTTCTTTGACAGAGATGACCTTTGTAAATGAGTTTGCCTTTTGGAGTAGACAGCCATATTTTTGTTTGAATTTCCAGTTGGAGGCTCTCATTGTGTCTGTGTGTCTGTGCGTGCTCCCAGGGGAGCGGGTTGGGGAAAGCGTACCTGAGGCACAGGGAGAGGATGCTGCTGGTAGGCTACCCCAGTACGGTGTTTTCAGCAGTAAGGGATGCATGGACAAGCAAAGTGGGTGATTTTGTGCCCTAACACACTGCCAGGGTGGGAGACCTCTTGGTGTGGACCCAGACTAGGAGGCTGTAAAAGAGAGTGAGTGTGCAAAGCTAAGGAATTGCTGCACTTGTCTGATGCCTTCTCACACTCCCAACTCTCTTTAAAGGTTTGACATTAATCCTCATTATTCAGAAACTTGAATTTCACCAGGGAAAAGCCAGAGACAGATACAGTGATGGTTTAGTTTGTAAAATTTCCTTCCATGCTATTATTTCTGTGTGGTCCTGGGGGATAGACTGAATCCTGATTGTATTTTATTTAGTCACTGCCTCCATCCCATATGGTAACTGCCTTGGGTAAATCCTTCCGATTTCAATCCATCAGCGCACACAATCCACCCCTCTTGTATCTCAAGATGGGAAGAACTGGGATTCAAAGACAATTCTTGCTATCAACAAGGTATCTTTCATATGTCTTAAAGGCAAACAGTTTTGAAGGTGCAATCTGACCAGGGTTGTTTTATAAAAATGCCAGACTTGAAAAAATTCTAAGAAATTTTCTGGTCCAGCCACTGTGCTGAGGCAGATCAGCTAGTCTGGTCTTCTCAATTACATCCCTGCCATCCACCACCTTAAATTAAAGGCTCTTCAATGATTGAAAGTATTTTCAATATTAAAAGCAAGAAAAGTGATTTAAATGAAAATAATTTGCCAGCAAATGGCTTCACTGCAATTCTCCAGGGGAGTAATTTTTTTTTTTCCACTTTAATTCAGTTCTTTTTTGTCTTGCCCTGTAAGTTGGGAATTTGAAAAAGGACCTGCCAACTTCATATAGCTCTCCATTACAAAGAACAATGCTATGGGCAGTTTATAGAATGAAAGATTTATAAGGGATTATAGACCCAGCCATTCATCTCTCTCATTACTGAGGAATACATACACTAATGTTAGGGGTTTTTAAGGCATTTTTTTAAAAAATCAGATAATGAAAAAAAAGAATTCCTAACAGCTGCCCAACAGATCTCATTTCCATTATTAGAAAACGTAACTTTCATCACTTTAGTTGATGTTTCCATTCTGCTCCTTTAACCAGGCTTGAAATGACTGCTGGAGGCAGTGTCTCCCAGGGCTGGTGTGCTACCAGACTGACGTGTGGATTACAGTCAGGCGTGTGTACTATCAGCACCTGCAGCATGTGTGCAGCTATAAAAATGACAGAGTAGAGTAAGGGAAGTGGTCCAGGACTGGCCATTCTGTTTGTTCATCTGATCTGCTTGGTAGCTGCGACCGGAATGTAAATCCTAATAACCCCATTCATAAAGTATAATCTCAATTACCACTGTCAGGTTATTTATTGATCCTGTAGAAGAAACTGCTTGGGAATATAGACATGATCCTTTGGATCACGGTCTGCTCTAACAGCAGAGAAAGGGAGAGATTCTGACTTCCTCTGTGCATGGGAAAAGCTTCTCAAGCCAAAGCAATGCAATTTTAAACCATCTACTGCAATGATGTAAAACGGGATTCTCTTGAAGATCCAGATCCTGACGTCCGTGTTACGTTGCTGTTAATCTGGAGTAGTTCCATGGGAGCGGAAGGAGATATTCAAATAGAATCTGTGAAATAAAGGTCAGCATTTAGCCCTTACATCTTTACCTTTCAGAGAAATAACAATGCATAGATCACTTGAATAGACTTGAAAAGTAATCTCATTTCCAAGATGCTTCGTAGCTGGCAGCAACTCCCTGCTCCCTGCCAGAAAATCAAGTGTAAAATCTATTAACTCTCCAAATACAACCTTAATATGTGATGGCTACAAAAAAAATCTCTTAACACCAACGAGGCTGCCGATGTGCTGAGACCCCTGCCTGTCACACTCCCTAATATTGCCTCGTTTTTTTCCCTCTCTTCCCCCGTCTGTCTGATCCCATCTGTTGTCACTTCTTTTACACTCAGTCTGCGACTGTTGGAGGCTAGTTAGAAGTTATTTTGTCCTTTGGTTTGTACACTGACATGAAGGACAGTGGGTTAATGGTCATTTCTGGCAGTGCTGCCTGGAGCGAGCCTGGAACGTCTGGGAGCTACAAGACTTTAACCTGTGTAAAAACATCTCTTATGTTACAGTGAAATTCAAATAAAGGCTCAGTTTTACCTTTAGTGTCCCAAGCAGTTCTATTCAGTCTGCTCAAAACTAGATAAAAAATTAAAACCAAACAATTTTCTTTGTTTCCAAGGGTAAGTAGGAGGAAGGACTGGCTCTGCAGGCACTTCTCACAGTCTGTCACCAGTAGGTGAAGACAACATATATCTGCCTCTCATAGCCAAGCATGCAAAGGTCTCTGAAATTAAGATGAGGTCTAAATCCCTGCAGGTAGGCTTGGGTGAATCTCCCAGTAGCAACTGAAAATATGATTGCTGTCGGATCTTTGATCCTTATTGTTCACAGAGGTTCTCACTCCACATCAGAGCTGACAGAGGGACAGGTGGGCACATCTTGACTTCAAAAGCCCAATTTATGGTGCTGGAGCTGAGACACTGGACACTGCATGCAGGACAGAGCCATGGACACATGTCCTTGCCTCTCCAATGAGCTCCATGGCAGGGTTTGCCAGCAGAGGGCTGAGAATATACCCTAAACAAGAACATATTTCATATGGGACTTGTTTCCCATTCCACAAGGTAATGAACCATTTGGTTACTGCCATGCTGGGTGATCATAGAGTGGAAAGAGAAGCTGTTCAAAATATTTAGTAAATTGAGTATCAGACCTCCACTGCAGCAAGTTATGGGTGATTAACACATTTCTGCTTTTGCATAACTAGGGTGCACCAATGTAGCATTTCAAGGGAAAGGAGAGGAATACATGGTAAAACAGGCTGGTATATCAAAATTGAAGCAGATAAGTAGAATGCGTTGAAGGGGAAATTCACTGCATTTTTTGTGTTGATGATCAAATTTCACATGACTAGAAGTGATGGTGGGTTGTAAATATTTGGTGGGTTAATGAAGATACTTATAAATATTAGCAGAATCAGTTAAATTCTGTAGCCTAGCATGTCTGAGCCCCCTTTTTAAGAGCAAATGAATGTACACAATAGCAATGTCCCCATGCCACCTTAAGAGACTGTGAAGTCGATTGAGTACCACGAAGTGAAAAGAATGAAGAAATGCATAAATATTGCACTGCTTTTGTTAGCCTCCATTTTAATTTGTTTTATAATCCTCAACACATGCACAGTTTGCCTTAACCCTCAGTGCATCGCCTTCAGCAAATTACACTG